TTATTTTTTTTTTAAATCTGGAAGATTTGGAACAGCCATGTCTTCCTGCAAAGACAGTAAGCTGCTGCAGGGTCCAGCCACCCTGCAGAGACAGTAGACATCCCAGAGAACTAAATAATTAAGTAAGCAAATACTGTGAGTCTTCCCTGAAAAACAAAACAAAGCCCCAACAAGATCTCTGCCAAGAGGCTGTGGGTGTACATGCCATGGATGGAGATCAGGTTGGCAACGTTTAAAAGAAGATGTATTAAAAAAAAAAAAAAAAAAAGATAAATAAAACAAACTAGAAGAAATTGCTTCCCTGTAGCAAGCGAGACCATCAACATAATGAAACATGTAAGACATGCTCATCAGTGCTAATTAAAATGAGGTTCTCACTAGTGGTGACTTTGGGCCAGAAGTCTTGCACTTTTCACTTAAGCAGCACCAAGCAAAGGCACGGGCTGCTCGGCCTCCAATGGTTCCTGCTCTTCCCTCAGCTCTAACAGCACAGGATTCGGCCCCTGCTTCAGTTCAATTTTCAGCTCTCCAAATTCACCACAAAACCAGACCTACTTCATCAAGATCAGGGGCAACGACATGAACACCTGAGGAAGCCTCCCATTACATTAGCAAGAGGTTAATACCATCCTTTTCCTGTCATTAAAGCATTGCTCTGCCCCATCGCAGACCTGCTGGGAGATAAACCCAGCAGTGGTTCACTCTCCCTGGCACCACTGCCCCAAACACCAGCCACAGTGTTCCACATGCTGCCGAGCAGCGGCTGAGGGATCCCGGCTGTGGTTTCCACCGCATTTAAAACATTACCTAATTAGTCTTATCGCTGCAATCCACGTACATAAAACCAGCCCGGGTTTGCTAAGGAAAGGTTAGCACTCGCTGTCACCCAAAGGCAGTGGGTTTAACTTCCCCCCTGCGCCTCCCCACACTTCTTCTACCTTCAGCCTTCAACAACATCACTGTGGCTGCACAGTGAAGTGGATTGCAGAACTAACCAGAAGTAAAAATTAACCCTGCACTGAGTCAGGTACGGGGCCCTCCAGCCCTGCGTCCCGTCTCCAACCGAGGATGCCAAGGAAGTATTTAAAAACAGACCACACAGGGATGCTTCCCCCAAACACCCTCCCCACCTCCCGAGATTTATGTCTCGGAAAAAAAAACCCTCAGTCATGGGATCTTTGTACGTAACAGTCTTTCATGGATTCTTCTCTCACATAAATCTGTCCAGTTGCTTTTTGCACCTATGCAAACACAAATTAACACAATGAGAAGTTTCACAGATCTTGCAGAGAAAAACCACATTTCCTTGTTGCTCGGAGCCTGCTATGCGCTCGCTGCACCCACCGCCTCCAAACCCGCTGCCAGCTCAGCCTCTTCGTCTGCTTCCACCTAAATATACACCCTGGTGCAAGGGACACAGCAGCAGGGGGTCGGGATGAAGCAAGCAGGGCCAAGAGGAGTCTCCTACTCCATCGCCATGCGCTGCCTTTCCGTTCATGACAGCAACCCCCAAACAAGAGGAAAACCCACGCTGTGCACCACGTTCAATAACCACAGGGCAAGAGGCAGTTCTGCTCCAAAGAGGTTATCACCTAACGGCATCAAACAGCTGAGGATTGAAAGGACCACCGAAGGAGTCAAAATGGCTTGTAGAGGTCACGGTGATGGGAGTGAAAGCGATGCCCCAGGTTTTGCCCACTGACCACCACTCTCTAGGTCATACGACCGTTAGTTCTGGTGTCAGTAGGCAGGTTCAGAAATTCAAGGTGTTTATGTAACAGGGACTGAACCACAGCCGCTGCTGACATCTGCACTGTGTTGTGTGCACGGAGCTGGATTTGCAGAAGACCTTGCTGACGCTAGAAGATGAGGGCTGCCACAGAAGCACCGGTACCACCAGCACAGCCTGGCTGCTCTTTGCTTGTTTACCTGCACCGGCACAGTTCAGCGGAAACCTCAAGAAAGGAGGAAAAGAAAAGCTAAGGAATCAAGCTGAGACTTTCTTTTCATCTATTCACTGGAATTTTTCAAATTTTTCCCCAACTGAAAAAACCACGTTCATATTTCAGGAACTTTGAACTGTTACAAATAATTTTTAAAAAATCCCTTGGAAACGAACAGCTAGGCTCATGGGAAACCTTACATCAAGCGGTCCAGAGGATAACCTACTTTTCTTGGATGTGGGAAACCCATAATTAATTTTTCTGTGATCACTTTACAAAAGAAACTAGTCACCCCCCTGAAGACCAGGTGACAGAGTCACTCTCGCATGCTGCCTAAATCAATTCACATTTAATTTATCCAAAAAGCAAGAAGTATATGAAAAGTTTCAGCAGAAATCCTTAAAACCACCTTGGAATGTCTTACAGGTCAGTAGGGAAACCAACATCCCATGAGAAGGGAGACTCAACTGCTGGTCTTCACTGTAAATAAGACAAAGATGGGCCTGAACTCCTCTTCCCCTAGATTCTCTAACCACGTGACAGATGGGGACCCCCGCTGCCTTCCTTTCCACTTTATAACCGGCACTTCAGTCTCCCTGATAATCCAGCTCAAGAGGGAGAAAATAAGGGGTGGGGTGAAGCCACCAAAGCACTCCATTTGAGATATGTTCCCATTCTTTTTCCCCCGCACCCCATTTTTATTTTGGTAAAAACTACTCTGGTGACTTAATCCAAATTCATGCATAGTCGCTCGACTACATCAAAATGACTGAAATAGCAAAAAAAAAAAAAGAAATATTGAGAGATTCCATGCAAGATTGCTATCTTAACAAACTTTAAAGATTTTTTGGATGACAAAAAAAAAACACCCAACTGTAAAGACATTATCACTCTTCCCTCAAAGTTTTTTATCTGGGATTTCACAACCAAGAAATACGGGGTGAGGTACATGGCATTAAGCACTGGTCCTCCTGTCAAAGGTTTGAAAATTATTATTCAAGGGTAACAGACATGCCAGAAAAATTTAGCTGGCCTAGAAGTCAGCTGGACAATACTAAACTTTCATGAAAAATGAACATACTGACTGCTACTTAAAAACTGTTCTCCAAATCTTTATTCATATGGCTAAAATAAAAATCTTAAAATATTTGGTTTCTAAGACTGACTCTCCAATACCACTGGTCATAGAGTCCTCAATGGGAGAGGAGCTGGTCAGATGTCTTTGGTAAGCACCACAGAATTTGAAAGGTTCTTCCAGCCCAGATTTAACAGAAAGCTGGAGGAACTACAAAATACAACAGCAGGATGGGCAGAGATGTCTCTCAGGGCTCAGCGCCTCAGGGATGCACATTCGGAGAGACGAGGAGGAGATAAGGAGCCTTTCTGCTTAGCAAGGACCTGCACACATTAGCAGAGCCTTTGGGTTTACGAACCCACGATGCCTCTCGACCCAAGTGACTGAACAGAACCAAGCGATGACAAGCAAATGAGACGCCTTTTTCTAGGCAAGAAAGAGGAAGATAGCACACCAACCTCAACTGCTAGCAACGTACTGACACTGTGGGCTCCCCATCACAACTACAGTCTTTTAACACGTCCAGTCTCGAAGAGATGCTGGTGTTCAGGGACTGGAGACATTTCAGTGCTGGTCATCAAAACCTCGAATCGCAGAAGACTGTTGGCAGGGACCTCCAGAGGCCGCTGGTCCAACCTTCTGCTCCAAGCAGGGCTAACCACAGAGTCAGGTCACATTGCTCAAGGCCTTGCCCAGTCAACTTCAGAAAAATCTTCAAGGATGCGGATCCCACCACCTCCCTGGGGCCTGCCCCAGAACACAAACACTCTCCTTGTGAAGAACTTTCCCCACATCCAGCCGGACTCTCCCCTGGTGCGGACTGGGCCTGCTGGCTTTCACCCCTTCGCTGGGCACTCGCGATGACAGTGTGGCTCCAGCTCCTCTGCCAGTCCGCTGTGGAGGATGCTGGCTAGATCCCTCTTCAGCCTTCTTGTCCCCAGACTAAAAAATACTCACTTCTGTCAGCCTCTCCTACGTCACGTGTCTTTCCAGATTTTCCTCCATTTTTCCTGCCTACAGAGTCAGTGCTTATTCCCCGCCGCACTCCAGCCATGGAAGCTATCTCACTGCATCTCCATAAATCCTACTGCTTTCCTAATTGTCCCTTAATTGCTTCATCACAGGCTACACGTGTCAGTCCAGGCAAGCACACACCACAGGAGGAGTCTCCCTCAGCCCGTGTCCCAGAGAGCCAGGACCCTGAACAGACACAGCACAGCAGTTCAGGCAAACCACAACATGGCAAAGAGACACAGGACTATGCTAAGGAGAGGTCTGAAAGCTATGCCAGTGAGCAAGCAGTGGGAGATGACTTCTTCTAACAAACACAAGATCCTCAGGTGGGACTGAGTTATGACTGAGCAGATAAAAAGCTCCCCTCCTCATTTCCACTCAGGATACAATTTCTGATTTCAGCTCTCGATGCAGGCCTCAGATTAGGCTTCAGCTCAGCAAATCTCTTGGGCAGCAAGTGAGCTTCTGCTTTTAGGAGGAGTGGCAGAAAATGCATGGGGAAATGACAGTATGAGCCATCCTCGTCCCTCACCACAGGTTAGAAAAAAGATGGCACGTTAAAAAGCACAAGGCTCTGTTTTTCCCAGGGCCCCTTTGGTGGGCATTAGCATTGTTGCCTGGTCCTTTCCCCCTTTCAACTCACACATCCTACCAGCTCCCTACTGTCTCAGAGCTCACAATTTAGCATCTGTCCTTAATCTTCTCTTTATACTAACAACACACTGTAACTGCAACATCTTTTTATGCAAAAATTGATAGGAGAGATAAGAACAAACAAGGAAACAGTGAGCAGTACATAGCCAAAAGTAATGGCGCATCCTGCAGTGCTTCCTGTCAGCTAACCACTGAAACTACAAAAAACAAACCCAAACACTTCTTTTGTCTGGAGCTTCAGAGCCGTGTGAAAATAAACATATGGAAGAAATGAAAATGCAGTTCAAAAGCACAGAAAAGAATGTAAAACTTACCAGGCTCTAACTTGATTATTTTTACAGCAGCCAGTTCTCCCGTATGAAGATTTCTAGCCTGAAATAAGAGAGTTAGGACATATTTAATTATACTGCAAAGGCATCTCATGCAGTCTTATAAACCATGAAAAGATACGCTGTGATGTCATAGGTTACAGATATGGCACAACGCAATTAGCTGAGAGCAACCTGGGTGAGGACTATCCGGTCTTGACGTTAGCACAGCACCAACCTCATTGGAGTTGTGAAGCACTACTGGCAGTTCCTTTCGGGACTTTACAAAAACCCAGCTATCTGCCAGCAAACGAGAGCTCATGCCTCTCAAACACCATTTCTAAGGGTTGTTGAAACTGAGAAGTTTCTGCCGTCCGTGCCGGCTGGGCTGCTACAAAAGCACCGTGCTGCACCACGGACTGCCAGAGCACGGAGCATGCGGTGCTCAACCACCCATCTCACGGTGCTAAACCTCAGGGTGCTCTGAAAGTGGAACTGACGGGCGGAGGGGCAGGGAGAAGCACTGCAGATGCAGCACGGAGGAGACCCAGCTCCCTGTGAACAACTTAACTCTGAAAAGAAACTCCTTCCAACAGACCCTGACAGAGGCGAAGGCTCCCCATGACCCTCGAGAAGAAGAAGGGGTAGGGAGCTCCAATTAAGTCTTTACAGAACTGTCCTCCTCGGGTACGCTGTAAACTTCACACAGAGTTCGGGGCTGGAGGAAATGCTACAGGAACCTCAGACATAGAAAGTTTTAAGCCAGGATTTCACTGACACTTTTAACTCTAGTCAAATGAGCAATAAATTGCTCGGGTACCATCACCAGAGCTAAACTACGGTATTTTTGACACACAACCTGATCCCATTAGGCCCTGTGGCATTCCCCTTTTGCCGATCATCCAAAAGCTAACGGAGTCTAAACCCAAGTGTTTCATTCTTGCCCTAACAAAGACGCAGAGTCTTCTGAACATGTGAAATTGGTTAAGAGGTGTATTACAGAAAATTGAAGGAAAACTGAGTGAGGTGAAATCGATGTGGGCAGCTACTTAAGATGAGCATGCAAAGCAAATTTGCCCCTGTGGACTGAACTGAAGGAAGCCACTACTGAACAAAACACTCATCTCTTGCATATGGACAAAAAGATGTCTTGATTTAACAACAGGTAAAGCAAAAATTTGAACAATGAACCTGTCAGTTTTGTCAACACTTAGTCAAGCTTCCAAATAGGCAAAGGCTTTCCAGACAGGGGGAAAAAAAAAAAAAAAAACCAAACAAAAAAAACCACACACCAAAAAAACCACACACTACTGACAATAATCGGCCTTTCAAAGCCCTGTAGTGCTCAGCCAAGAGATCAGTGTCAAAATGCACGCCAGGGACACAGATATGACTCAACTGAAGTCAAAGAGAGCCTCAACAACTGCACAACAGAATCAAACATCTCAAGCCAACAGACCAAATCACTGAACACAGAAGCAGATAGTTATCTGCTAACCACAAAGGAAACCTTTACCGCTTCTTAAAGTACCTTCCTACCAGAGGTGTTTTTAGAACACAGCAAAATCACTGGCATCCTTCAACATCCAGAAGGAGCGTGCATCCAAGCGTGGACAAAGGATTAGGACCTCTCTGGTACTGTTACACCTACAATGCCGTTACGAAACCCGTAAGAGACCAAGCACACACTCTATCTTGGTGAAGCCAGGGAACCTCTGCTATCCACGCTTCTATCCACAAGCAGCTAAGCTATTAGATAAAGGAGGCTGCATGGTTTCCAGAGCAGCTTCATTTCTGAAGTACAAAAAAAGAGATCACTTTCCTTACAGATATTCCTTTTCCATATAGCACTCGCTGCCACTGCTACTGTTATGCTGAAGCCTGAAGGAATGGATGTGGTCTGCCAAAGGTCTCTCGTACGCAGACTGCTTGGCAGGGACTCGGAGGTACAGGCCAGAGGAGATCACTGCAATTACTGGCTCCCAGCTCTCACACACAATAGGCCATAGAGCTTCACCAAATTGTGTCCTGCTGCTATCCAATATTACCATTAAGTTTTTGCATATAATCTATAGCCTGGACATGGACAATTTTGGGTTTCAACCACCAGACTTTGTCTGCTGGAATGGAAAGCTCTGCACTGGGTTGGTATTTATGAATTAAACACATCAAGTTATCCGAGCCACCCGTCCTAAGACCAGTTTTCTGGTCCTAGAGTTCAATCTTCCAACCGAACACATGCTCCAGTTGATGACACCAGGACCACACACGCTACTTAACTCCTATCGTGCCAGCACCAAAGGCAAAAATGCTGAGTATTCCCTGATGCTCAGTATCCTTGTTTGGATGCTCAAAGCGACAGGAACTTCAGTCTAGACGGTCATATTGCAAGCACGCAGCAATTTACCCAAACTGCTTCCCAAGAGATGTCACCTGCCCACAAATGTGGCTGATGGCTTTTGTTCCTTCACCTCTCATTGCACCAGCTTCACAGGGGTACACATGTCTCTCTCTGCGGCCACTCTGGTTTTTAAACTTTTCTCTTCCACACCTTTCTGTCAGCTGAAAACTTGATCACAGAATCACAGCATGGTAGGGGTTGGAAGGGACCTTGAAAGAAAACCCGGCCCACCCCCCCAGCCAGAGCAGGACTACCTAGAGTAGGTCACACAGGAACGCGTCCAGGCGGGTTTTGAATGTCTCCAGAGAAGGAGACCCCACCACCTCTCTGGGCAGCCTGTTCCAGGGCTCTGTCACCCTCACAGGGAAAAAGTTTTTCCTTAGGTTCATGTGGAACCTCCTGTGCTCCAGCTTGCACCTGTTGCCCCTTGTCCTGTCATTGGCCATCACTGAGAAGAGCCCGGCTCCATCCTCCTGACACTCGCCCTTTACATATTCATAAACATTAATGAGGTCACCCCTCAGTCTCCTCCAAGCTCAAGAGACTCAGCTCCCTCAGCCTTTCATCAGAAGGGAGATGCTCCACCCTCTTCACCATCTTTGTGGCTCTGTGCTGGACTCTTTCATCAAGCAGTTCCCCGTCCTTCTGGAACTGAGGGGCCCAGAATTACTGTTATCTTGCACGTCATTAAATATGTAAGAAGGCGAGGGCTAAAAACTGTTTCTCCATGGTACACACCTAGATATGAAAACTATCACATAAGGATTCCTCAAATCATTTTGAGACATGTTAGTTAAAGAAATTCTCAACTTGTTTCCTATGGGTGACTACAGTTTGCATCATTCTACTTCCTTAAAAAAAAAAAAGGATTGTGTAGTACCAAGGAAGTGACAGACAGGAATGCATTACATCAACACTGCTGTCTCTGTGAATCAAACCTGAAATTTTACTATAAATTGTATTTGACAAAAATACAAGTTCTCAATAATTTCCCTGAAGAATCAGTTAATGATTCATCAATTCATCTTACTGATATATTTCTTCGCTAGAGGGGAGAAAATTGAAGTAAAGCTAAGAAATTACTGTTCTCCTAGTCATCTTACTTATATTTTTAAAGCCCAATAGCAAAATATCTGCCTCTTTCTCATCCCCTGAAATCTTCCCAGTATTTCAAGTCTTAATTCAACATTAGCTGAAACCAACCAGAGGTCAGGGGAGCTGCTCTCCCCTGCAAGCCAAGTAATCCAGACCTGTCAATTAACAACTATAGCCGCTGTCCTGTATCTCGTAAGCTGTTATTGACATGGCAGTTTATCATTTACATGATTTATCACATAAAGATGACATATATATGAGCATTTACACAGCTCCCTCCTGTGCTGCAGCCCCATCAGTAATGCAGTCGGTTCAGTTCCCACACGACAGAAGCGGAACTCGACTTCCCTGAAAGATCAGGGGACTTGCTGTAAGACTTTCCCCCAGAGGAAGACAGAGCTTTTGCTATCTGTTAGTATTGATTTTCATTTTATTTAACGACATTCAGACCTGAAAACTATGTTCCACGTTACTCAGAATGAAAATTAAAACTATCAGATTTTGGCAGAAGGATTGCAAAGCTCCAACAGAAAACGTGACCCACACAAGAATGCGACCAGACCAAGGGTATATTTGAATGGGGCAAGCCACACACTCAGATTTATTTTGCTCAATGTCATATACAGAGTGTATTTACTGAGAAAGAAGAGCTAAGTAGTGGTCTTTTGGTCACCTCTTCTTCAGCTGTCCTGCAGCCTGCTATAGGATGAGTGCCAGCATCCCACTGAGCACTCTTCCAGAATGTTTTAGCAGCTAAATATTAATACTACAGAACATCACACAGAGTCTATGTCCAAAATAAACCAACACACAACCAGTCCTCTTTTTCTGAATATCCTATTGCATAGTTGTAGCTACCTAGGAGATTACATGCCACCAGTTTAATGTGACAGCACAATAATCACTGCACGTTTTTCCCCAGTATATGTCAGCACCAGCCAACGCAACCCAGATTCCCTCAAACATACACACAGTTGTACCAGAGCAGATTAAAGGTTTCTTCACACCCATGGTCCTCTGACAAATGATGGAGCTGAGAGGAATTTAATGAACTACAACAAGGGCAAGTGTA